CTCAATCTCTCATCTTTCCCCATTATTTCACAACACGTTATCAGCACCATAGATCTCTCTCAAAGTGACAAATTGAATGGAATATAAATCCAAATTTTGCGATTTGCATCTCGCATGCAATTATGTTACTTGAATTATAGTTTTGTTTAATTTCAAAATTCACAACAAGATTAATGGTTGGACCATATTCTTGTTGGAATTACATGATCTGTGTTGGACCATATTCCTTTAATGGAATTAAGTGGGTTGCGGTCTCCTCGTGGCGTATGTGAGATGTGACTAATCTAGAAAGTGAACATATTAAGAATAGAGAATCCTCAATTGCTACAACGAGATCCGTATCAGGAAAGTTTTTCATCTACTTATTATTTTCGTAACCATATTGTATATACTGTATATGTTAATTATGTTACGAAAGTTTAGTATTTTATTCGTTGTTTTGTTTTGCAATGTCGAAATTAAATTAGTACTCCTAAATGCTTGCCACATAAACTGTCGAATAATATACCCATATCTGTGAAACAAGTTTGGCATGACACTAATTGGTTTAATATTGTTTGACTTGTTATATATATGTAGTATGTTGTAGAGTATTATCTATAGTGCTTATAAGACAAATTCTCATCACTCTAATAATGGTGGTTTTGGTTAAGACTTCATTCATAATTTATGATGGGAATATTATATATATTTTTTGATGGAGTAAAGTACTTGTTTGATTTTTCTCGTTAATTGCACCACGACAAATTATTTCCGATTAGAATAAAATTATTCTTGAACATATAATCTAAGTGATTTGATAAATTTCTTTTATGTATCCGATTGAATTGTGTTAATCTACTATTATAATTAAAAGTTAGTAACTCACCTTGGTGAGTGTGTTCTATGATAGCTTATTTGTTTGTGGTACTTGTTGATTTACAGTTCCTTTGATTCTTCTAATACTTATTTAACTGCATCAACTATATGTCTCCCCATTGATGTTGAGTTATTGATCTCCTGAAGAGAACAAATTATGAAAAATAGATCTAATAATAACTACATACATATGGGTTAGAAACCTTCTGGAACAATCTAGAAATGTCTAATGGTTTTGAAAGTATGTTGACTGGATTATTCTCCGTTCACAAAACTAATGTGTTCCTATATATGTCATGAAATCTCTTGATTATTGAAGAATTAAAAAGTATATATTTTATATATATATAAAATTCATGGTAAAGTTCATAATTATTTGAGTAAAGAATAGTGTTATGAGTTCAAGAAATTAATTAAACATGCTATTTTGAGCAAATTACTTGAAGAATGTTTTATGCCCATAGTTTACCGAATTTTCAACATAAAGATGAATATAATTGGACAAGAGAAACAAGTAAGAGTTTTGTAAGAATATTTTTCTTTGCTTGATACATGACATTACCAAAAGGATTTATGGTTTGAGTGCAAGGGATTTCAAAGTTGTTGGATAATTAAGATTTATTTCATATCCCCATATGCAAGGATTAGGGGGAGATATTATTCATTTCGTTATTATATATAATCCTTGCACATGAATTGTATGATATATTGATGGTCAGTATTGCATACATTTGCTTTAATATCAATGTCAATAATTTATTTAATAAAAGCGACCACACCATCCTGAAGATGGATGTAAATAAATGAATTTCATTGATCATTACTGGTTGTAAATGCTCCAATTAAAATTATTGTCCCAGAAGGACAACATCGGTTAATAATGAAACCTAAAGCACGTCTGAAGCATTGTAATCTAATAGATTAAAAATAAATAAATAAATAAGAACCTTCAGAAAAGGAATGGAGCAACTATTGACAATGACAAATTTGAGGAAAAGATAAATCCCTTTACATTTCTAGAATAAAATTATTTTTAGTAAAATCAATATGTGAGATTAGTTGATTGTCTTGCTAATTGTATAAAGAAACACATGTTGGTGTTCTAATATTACATCACATTCATAGTCATGCATGAAGTAAATTTGATAAAATGATCACTAGTGTTGGAAAACTGGCCAGAGTTCAAATTTAGAGAAGTGATTGGATGTGATAATTAAATTAGGCCATCAGGGTTAAAAATTACCCGTTATGGAAACCTGAAGTTTCGTTTGATAATGTAATGACGCTCTCTCAATGACAAATATATGAAATGAATTGAATGGCAAGACATAACATTGAGATTGAGCTATATTTGGATTCTGATTCATATTAATTTGTATATATGAAAATTTCAAGGGTTAATAAGTTTTGATTTTTTTTTTATAAAAGAGTAATAGGTGACCAGAAGCTCACCAAAATATCGTATATATTATTGTAAACTATCAGAGAACTAGAAGCTCACCAAATACATTATTTAAGGCTTTAAAGATCCAGAAGATCACCAAATACATTATTTAAGGCTTTAAAGATCCAGAAGATCACCATCTAGTAGAATTACAAGCAAGTGATCTATGCTTGTATAACAATTCTTTTGATTGGGGCTATTATATGTCAGCACATAAGAAATTGGAAAATAATGGAAAACGTACAACTGCACAACACATGTCTCCCCATTGACATTGTTTTTCAGAAGATATTATGAAAAAGATAATATATAATAAATACACCTGTAATGTAAAATTAACGAAGAAATGACTTTTCATTGAAGTTGTTCTCCAGAAGAGATGAAACTTGTTAAATACAAATCTTCTAAGAAATAAATTTTGATTGTGATCCTCCTAATGAAATGAATTTTATTGGAACTTTGTATACTAAGTTGGTGAAGAACTGTGATGCCCCTACATATGAGATATTTTACCAACTTAGGGGGAGAATTGGAGTAAGTTGGCAAAAAAAAAAAAATTTAAAAAAAAACTGATGATCCCTATATAAATAATGGTAATTTGAAATGTTTTATAGCCAACTTTCATCCATATGCTATCAAGATATGTTGCACATTTATGATTTGATTTGTATTCAGTTATGACTCATGTTGCATAGCGTTGAAGATACATTTTGGTCATATTAATTATGTGTATACATTGAGATAAAATCTTGCCAATTGTACTTGAATCACTACACCTGAAGTGTAGGTTGTATACAATCGGTTCCAACAAAATAAAGATATGTTTAATAGATATGATATTTGGCAAGATAGTGGAGTTGACACTAATAGTGTAATAGTATATACCATATTGTATGAAATACCCTAAAAGTGGTATAAATATCTGAATTATTATAATAGATGGCCTATTATGTAAGAAAAGTTGTGATGGTACCAAATGAGAAATGTATTAAGATATCATACTAAAATAGCATGCGAAATGTAAATTAAAGGAATTTTATGATACCGGTACATAATGGAACCGATGAATAATATGCATACGCATAATATAATGGACTAATGAGTAAGGGATTTGAAATATATGTACATTTTGATGTCGACATAATGATAATGATCATAAGTTTATCATGGACACGAAGTCCAATGAAATATGGATTTTTAAATCCACACTGTACAGTGTCTTACATTATTTCGAGTCCTATGTATGTTCATATGCATGTGTGAGTCATAGGTTACTAGATTATTCATTGCATATGTTCGAAGTTGTTATATGCATTACTCATTGTATAATTTGTTTAATAGTTATCATGTTTTATATATCTCATATTGCATGGATTAATTTCTTACAATGGTTGTGGTGTATATGAATGTTCATTCAAAGTATAGTAAGACATATTACAACTTTGATGAAAAATTAGAAAGAGATATTTATATTCCAATGGACTTATAATTGTAATGAAATTATTGATGACACTTATTTAATTGCACGTTATGAATCATGTAAAAAGAGTTCCTGAAGAACTTATATACGACGAATTTAAATATCCAGCCCTTGAAAAGTCTATGTGACTAAATCATTGACATCTCAACCTGAAGCTTGAGCATATAAGTGTTAGTAATGAGAATTACTATTTGTATATGAAAGAGAACTATCGTGTTAATTATAAATATTCTAAAGAATCAATAAGATACTTATGCGTGATATTGTTTTATCATGGTCCAGAAGAACCATGATCAATGTATATAATTACATGTGCTATATTATTATTTCATTCAAGATTGGAAAATCAACATTAATAATATCATGGGTTACCATATTATTATTAAGGAATGTTTAATCAAATTATAATGATCATCAATTTCGATTATTCACGACCTCCGGAAGAAGGCATAAGTATAATAGTTAAGGCAACTTTGAACAGAGATTTTGAATGAAATGTGGACAAACACATGTATTATGGTTATAGGTTTGGTGATATAAAGACTCACTTGTTTGAGTAAAATTTTTTTGAAGATTTGGAAGACTCGAAATTAAAATCAAGGAATGATACTATTCTGCGTCATGTGTGAGGACACTCAACTATATTGGATTCATTGCATTACAAGACCTCAAGCTATGTATTCATCAGGGGGAGAAATTACGAGCTGCACTCTTTTTCCCTTAACCATGGTTTTTGTCCCATATTGGGTTTTTCCTGGTAAGGTTTTTAACGAGGCAGCATTTCGAGCGTATTACGAAGAATGTTGTACTCTTTTTCCTTCATTAGGTTTTTATCCTACAAGGTTTTCCTAATAAGGTTTTAATGAGGTACATTCTTCGATAATGGACATCCAAGGGGGAGTGTTATGAAATATTTGTGGATATCCATTATTCCGGAACAATCTAGAACTAGGGTTTATATTCTTATCCAATAAAACCCTAATATATTGTATGTATATATACACCTTATCATATGGAATAATATACACAGATTAATTCTCTCTCAATCTCTCATCTTTCCCCATTATTTCACAACAGGGAATTTGTTTTAAATTATTTTTAAAAAGCGTAAAAAGTTAAATTAGATAAAAAAAAGTTAGATACAGATAAAGTATTAATGTAAGAGTAAAACTCTCATAGGGAGTGGAAAACCCATCAACACAACTGTCCTTATCTTCAATTCTTAATTTCAACATTTGTTTTTTCCTTTATATTTTCACTACTCCTTAATCTATTTTAACTAATTAGCAGCAACTTTTCCACTTCCCAACTCCACCATTTCCGTCCCTTCTTCCTCTCCACTCTCAAAACAAGCAACCTCCCTTCCAAATACCCAAAAACAGAGTCATCTCATCTCCCCTTCAAATCTTCAATACAAGTTTCCAAATACAACAACAATGGCACAATCTATAGAATCGTCTTCCTCATCATTCTCCACCATCTCTGCTTACTTCCGGGCCCTGAGTCAAACCCCGCAACGCCTCGCTCGCCGAGCCATTTCCGTCTCCACCCCTTTCGAGGAGCTCAGCCATGTCCGAGCCCGCTCCGGGCCCGACATGCGACGATCCCTCCGTTGGTACGACCTCGTTGCCCTCGGCATCGGCGGTATGGTCGGCGCTGGCATCTTCGTCACCGCCGGTAAAGCCTCTCATTCTTACGCTGGCCCTGCCGTCGTCCTTTCCTACGCCATTGCCGGCCTTTGCGCTCTTCTCTCCGCCTTCTGCTACACCGAGTTCGCCGTTGATATCCCCCTTGCCGGCGGCGCCTTCACCTATCTCCGCGTCACCTTCGGTAACATTAACCTTTCTCTAACCCTCTGCTTTTGTTCTTTTTTTGGAAATAAAAAATGATGGGATTTTAATTTATGTAATAATGAAACAGGGGAATTTGCTGCATTTTTAACTGGAGCAAATTTAGTGTTGGATTATGTACTATCCAATGCCGCCGTTGCTAGAAGTTTCACCGCTTACTTCGGCACCGCAATCGGTATCTCCACCTCTAAATGGAGGTTTACTCTCTCTCTCCTTCCTAAAGGCTTCAATGAAATCGACGTCATTGCCGTCCTCGTCGTTCTCATCATCACCATCATCATTTGTTATAGGTACATTATACTGGAACATGTATTACTTTGACCACTAATATAAAAAAAATTGAACAAATTAAAAACATTTAAAAATATATATTGGTATTATATCGAGACAAATCTAACAAGATGATTGTTTGTTTAAACAGTACAAGGGAGAGTTCAGTAGTGAACATGCTTCTAACAGCACTACATTTGATATTCATTGGATTCATAATAGTGTTGGGATACACAAAAGGAGATGTAAAGAATTTCACGAAACCAGAAAACCCGAATAACCCGGGTGGGTTTTTTCCATACGGGTTAACCGGAGTATTTAATGGAGCAGCATTGGTTTACTTGAGTTACATTGGATACGACGCCGTTTCGACAATGGCTGAGGAAGTTCATAACCCGGTTAAAGATATTCCAATTGGAGTTTCGGGTTCGGTTATTATCGTCACTGTTCTATACTGCTTGATGTCTATTTCCATGTCCATGCTCCTTCCATACGACGCCGTACGTCTCCCAATCAAAATTCATTTTTAGTATTTTCACTTTTTATTTAACTATTGTTTCATGGGAGTATGGGTCCTATTTGGCTATTACAGTTTAACCCCAACCTTAAAGTAATTCATCAATTTTTTTCATTTTTTGAACTTAATAATTAAAAATTAATTATACTATTTCATTTATAATTAAAAAAATTCATCGATAAATGACAATAATATATGCGAGATTTAGACCAAGATACATTGTTGTACCATATAATCATATCCAATTGGTTATAAAAAAAGAAATAATCAAATTTAATACTTAATTCAACTATATTAATTGACATATTGTTAAAAATCTTGATGTTGAAGGTTATGGAAAGCTATTGAGTAATTATAATCTTAAATTGTCATAAATATGAATTTAATATTCCATGTGATGCATTTGAATATACTTCATCAGGTCATAGGTGCCACACCAAACGGAATCACTTGTATGGTAAAAGATGCTCCAATGAAAAATGATGCATGACTGTTAAAATAAGGAGTCTAATGTCATTGGATATTGACTATTCTAAATCAGAGTAAAGATTTAAATAATATTTATTTTTTACTCTTATTTATTACCACTATTTTTTTTTTTAATTTTACTCTAAATTAAAATATACGAGTATTTTTTCTTTAAAATCAACTTAAGTTTATTTTTTTTATTATTATTATTATTTTTTTTTTTATTATTTATTTTTTTAATTTTGTGTAATTTTTAAATCTTTTTGGTAGCTCAACTATAAAAGGTTTGACATTTGCGTGTACACAATAAATTCTAAATACTCATAGTTTGTATGAAACTCATATCATACAAAAAGTTTGATTGTGAGATTTTATTGAGGTATATTTTGACTACGTAGATTAGAAAAAAGAAAGCAATAAACTCTAACTGAGTTGGAAAGGTCAAACTATTCTGACAAGTACGCATGTGATAATGAAATTATGATTGTTGCCATTAGTTTTATTTTACTATTTTTGTTAACTTATCTAAACTATTTCTATGAACCAAATTCACATTTAAAAATATTATATTACTCCTTCCGTTCCATTGAGATAAAAACAATATTTCAAAGGGAGTTTCTTTCAATCTACAAATAAAAACAATTTCAAACACTACCTTTGTTATTATTTATGACGATTTTATATAAAGATTGAGTAAAAAATGTCTAATTATTATAATTAATTTGAAACGAAAATAGTTTACTCCCTCCATTTTTTAATATTTACTCCACATATTATTTTTAGTTATTTTTAAATGCATGCTTCATTTCTTTTTACAGTATTTAATCCATTCTCTTAACCAGTGGATCCAACATAAATTATATTTTAATTAATTTTATATACTCTTATCTATTTTTGTTTTTTTTTTCCATTTTTTTTTTGCTTATTCTACTACCTTCATATTTTAATACTTTTTCTAATTTATCCTAAAACTCTACAAATGGAGGAATAAAACAAATATTTAAAGAAAAATGATTAAGAAGCTAAAAAAATATATGTAGAGGAAAAACTAACATTAATTACACTGATTTATGAGTGATTTTTTCATGAATTTCCAACTTAAATCCATTTTAAGAAGTATATATTAAATGCTTATATATAACATCATTACCCATATTTAAAAACAAGGGGAGTATTTGTGTTGGATAATGTATATTGATGATTATGTGAAATTGGACTAATACAAAAATATTTGTTTTTTTGGTAAATATTGGTGATGGGGTTGTACAGATAGACCCAGAAGCAGCATTTACAGGGGCATTCAAGGGAGAAAAAGGATTGGAATGGGTGTCAAAAGTGATAGGAAGTGGGGCAAGTTTTGGGATATTGACATCATTAATGGTGTCGATGTTGGGACAAGCTCGTTACATGTGTGTGATCGGACGGTCAAACGTAGTTCCATCTTGGTTTGCTAGGGTCCACCCGAGGACATCTACACCCGTCAACGCTTCCGCTTTTCTCGGTAACGTTGCTTTCTCGTCCTTTTCTCACCGTTCCTACTCATTACTACTACGAGTATTATTATCAGGCAAAATTACTGTCATTGACACTAATCTTGTGAAGTTTTGTAATTATTGACACTAACTTATATTAATTGTTAAATTGACACTACCTTGCTATATAACTTAAAAAATTAACGTAAATGACACTAAACAACTAATTTTAACTTTCAACCCTTATACAAATATGAAATTTCTTTTCAATAATCATTTACTTCAAAAAGATCTTAATCTATTGGAAAGATAAAATAATATAGATGTCATATAGTGTTATTGAATGTTTAATATCTTTAATGTCAAGTTTATGTCAATTTAACAAGTGACACAAGTTCGTGTCAATATTTACAACATACTCTTAAGTTGGTGTTAATGAATATAATATTGCTTTATTATAACTTCACTCGTTTTATAATAATCGCAACTTTTTTTTTATATCAATTTCATATTAATTGCAACATTTTTTTATAGTTTTAGATTTGAAAAATACCAACTATTACATCACCCACTAATTCCACCGTCATATATATTTTATTATTTATTCCTACCAGACTACCAATCCCACTCATAATTAATACTTAACGGAGGGAGTATGATTTTATTTTGGATTCATCCTTCTATTTACGGAGTTTAATAATTAAATGATTATACTCTCTTATTTTATCCTTTCTTTTTTCTCTCTTTGGTTGCTTTGTATATTTGATTTTTTGTTTTTTCGTGGTTTTTGTTTGTTGTTTCTCTCAAGTTAGGCCGTTGAGTTTTCGGTTATTATAGGGTTGTGTAAAGCATTTTGCTTTCTTTGTGAATCGTGTAAGTTTTAGGTTAAAATCCTACAAAAATAAATTAAAGTTTTAGGTTAAAAGAGGAAAAAAAAGTATACAATATTTTTTTACTGACTCTAAATTATGGGTTTTTGTTTGTTTTTCTCAATTAGGCCGTTGTGTTTAGGGTTATTGTAGTTGGATTATGTAGAGCAATTTGCTTTCCTTGTAAATTGCTTATTAATATATGGATATGTTATCTTCACCATGAAAAAAAAATTTACTAGCTTAATAAGTTGAGGTAAACAGAAATACAGTATGTACTTGATATGGTTTTTTATAAATAAAAGTAAAGATACGTCATTATAGCTGTTATATTGTTTTAACATGCAATTTAATTTAGAATGTCATCGAGCTTAATTGGTCGAGTTTTAATATGAATTAAGAGTCCTGCATCTACGAGTATATAGCCATCTACGACTGCCTCTTGTGACTCTCTACATGAATAAAAAAATATAGGATGTACTGTTGGCAAAAAATGAAGAATAATTCGGTTTTAGAAAAAAAAATTCAGTTTTATGAAGAGCATGGTTGGAAGATGCTTTTTCAATAAGGACCTAGTACTAATTTATTGATTGCACCCTACAAAATATTTTTTGAAGTAGATATTGTCGAGTAATTTGATTGGTTAATTATTGACGCTACTTACAGTATGTGACACTTTTATATGTGCTTACGTAACAATTACGGAGTACAAATAATAATTTGAACTTTAAAGTTGATTTTTTTTAAAAAAATGTTCTCCGTATATTCTTGCCTCATTAGAAATTTTATGTAGTTTCAAGACTAATGACATATTAAAATGACAATCAAATGGAGTTGAATGTTAGAATTCATGGATGCTTATTTGGGATCATTTGTGTAATGTACTTTCAATGGCCAGTACATTTCGAGTAAAACATGAAGAAATCTTCGTAAATAAACTCTTTCCAAAACTCAAAAAAAACAAATAAACAACGTCAGTGTATTCAATTGAACAAGTTGGTTGATCTAAAATTTCACACAAGTGATACATCTAAAACGATTATTTAGAAGATTGCTGATGATATAGTTGTTGTCTTGTATAATATACCTAGGTACAACTTCAACTTTCATGGTAGCTGAAGTGTGTCATGTTGATGTGGGAAATGTTGTCATAACATATTTATTATTGTTTTGATAACCTGAAAATTTATATATAGACAACCTTACGTGTTGTTTTTGGACTATATGGGAAGATATGGATGAATGATCATTAGTAATGGATTACAAAAGCCGCAAATGAAACAACATGTGGGTCATACTTTTATGATTTTTATTGTTTTTGTGTAATTGTCGGCCATTTTTCATTTGCAATAAAAATCCATTCATGTATAATGTGGGAATTGTAAAAGAAAACTTGTTGGATTATTAAATTTGATCTTTTTACTTTGGGGAGGTGGGGGGATGGGGGTGGTGGTGGAGGATAAGTTTGTTGTTAGGTCTTGAATGTATTAGTTGCGTACTCGTGTCTGATACGGGTACATATTAAGTTTGGTGATTTCAGTGTAACCACCTTATTTTTAGTATGGTGTAATGTGTTAAGTGTCGATATCTATATATTAGTGTCATGGATTTGAAACGAGTATTTGATGTAAGATGAAGAGTGCGGGGAAGATAATCTCATGTCCTTTTTATAATTTTATTGCTTATTTTGGGGTTAGAATTTGGGTTGGTCGGTGACACATCACACATGAAGTGCTATTGGACAGAACATCTGATTTTAGAGAGGAAGTGCTCTCTTGGTGTAAAGCTTTAGGGTTCAATTTCAGCAATAAAGTTGCTTTTAAATCTCTTAGGTTATCATAAGCATGGCTGTATGAGATCCCAAGGGACTCGAGGCTTTAAATTCATGGGAAAAACGTTTATGTTTTTTCTTTGGCTCAAAGAGTCATGAAAATTGAGTATTTTAAACATAAAATTTTGTAGTATTGTATATTATTTGTTGCATTTGCATTATATCTTTAAAGCATCAAACCTAAGAAAATTGTTTTACTCGTATTAATTGTGTTACACCACTGCACTACTGCTACATTTGTATAAAAATGTAAAATGTAAGTATAATTAGTGAAGTTTTAAGCTAATATTAAGTGCTTTAAGTTTTAAGCTAATTAGTGAAATCAAGTATTTCTCAGAACTTTCCTTTTAGGGATACCTTCAATTTTTGGCTTGCTAACTACCTTCAATTGGTAGGGAATTTCTTTTATAACACGTGGCACATAATCTTTATTAGGAATGTTTTTTAATATATATGTATAGATTCATTAGCCTATAAAGGAAATCTGGTTTATTGTATCTTTAAATCATCTTATGGTATAAGAATTACCTCTGTTAATCGTCAATTGCTGAATCTAGTGATATGCATTTATTGAATTAACACGATTTATGTACCTATACTTGTTTCAAGCTCCATTTGAGACCTCTGATGATTGGAAATATACAAATACGTGCCAAAAGGTTGTGTTTCCTATTTTGTAAAGACTAGATACCAAGGAAAGTTGAGCTAGATTTTGATTCAGAAGGCTAGTCATTGTTCTAATGTTCAGTTTAAGATTCTAGGAAAGTTTAGATAGGGTAAAGTGAATATAGTAGCTACTTTAGTTACTATTTAAGTTGCTTGAGAACGCCGACTTTGTTAAAAAAAAAAAAGCATTGTTCTTAATATCCTTTTGATCTGTACCATTAGCTCTTATGAAAGTGATGCTTTGGTTGCAATATGCTCTCTTGATGATCTTCCTTTTTTGAAATATGCTTTAGTGGATAGACTATTTAAGTGGAATACTCTTATCACTTTTGAGAAGTTTTCAAGTGCTCAATCTTTAGTAAGTTATGCTCATTGGTGGATGTTCAATGGAATCGAAAATGTTCTTTTCAAATGAAAGTATATTGCTTGTGAAGCTTCCCCTCTATTAGGAGGGCGGCTAGAATCATAACTGTGCATATCACAGGGTATTTGAGAATTTATTAAACAGATGCGCTACTTGTATCTTTTATTGTTACGAATTTAGTGTTTCTCCTTGATGATATCATATATTTGCGAGACTTTGTTTCATTCAACTCGTAGAGATTTAAAGAACTTATATTATCTGAATATCTTCTCTGTACTTATATTATCTGAATTTATTTTAACTGTATGTGCAAGTGTAACTTGTATTATCTCAACTTTCAAGACATTTTAGATTACTTGATTAAGTTGAATTTAATGTTACATTTGATGAAGTAACAAGGTTCATATGTCCTTAATACCAATTCCCCTCCTCTTGCAGGAATTTTGACAGCAGCCATTGCAATGTTCACTGATCTTGATATTCTTCTCAACCTAGTATCAATTGGCACGCTCTTTGTCTTCTACATGGTCGCGAATGCTGTAGTTTATCGACGATATGTAGCTATAGGAACGACAAATCCGTGGCCTACATTGTCGTTCCTTTGCTCTTTTTCAGTCACCTCTATTCTGTTCACACTAATATGGCATTTTGTACCATCTGGTAGACTTCAAGATATAATGCTCGGCGTATGTGCCATCATTGCCATAGCGCTCTTGCAGTTATTTCAGTGGCTCGTTCCTCAGGCACGTAAACCTGAGTTTTGGGGTGTTCCTTTGATGCCATGGCTACCATCAATGTCTATATTCCTCAACATTTTCTTGTTGGGCTCACTCGATGGACCGTCGTTTATTCGATTTGTATTTTTCTCTGTTCTTGCTACTGTTGTATATGTATTGTACAGTGTCCATGCTAGCTTTGATGCAGAGAAAAAGGGGTGTTTAAGCACAAAGAACGACAGAATGGTCTTAAAGCAACAAGAAATGGGTGGTGTTTGAGTTCCTATATGAAATTATCATTTAGTCTTAGCTAGTACTACGTATAAAGTTCTTTGTAACATTCCTTATCTATCCTCTTATAATTGTCTTTTGACATTGTTATTACTTAGCTTACTCTCATGTACAAGTCAAAAGAATTCAGTAGAGGGAATTTTGTTAAAAAGTGAAATATAAGGAATGAGATGAGAATTGTGCGTCGTTTAGAATTAGTAATCACATTGTCTCACTTTCGAACTAGAATTTTGTGTTTTGACTAAAATATGTTTAATAACAAGTTTTTTTATCTTAAATGTGAAAAGAAGTGTGATGATGATCTAGACATTCTAGTAAAGTACTAAAGTGCACTAAGCATATGTGACTATTAATTTTAAATGGAAGTAATATTTACCAATACCGATAAAATAAGCGTTGGCAGCGCGTAATAAGTCTCAAGTCTCAAGTCTCATATGGTCTTTAAATAATTGGAGAAGATGAAGTCCACTAAAAAGATTTGGAAGGGGATATTGACTTGTGGATAGAAAGTTTCTTTGTGGAAAGTGGAGAAATATCATCGAGATGTTCTTGCAATAAAGGAGGTCCAAATGATTCTTTTTGGTGACTTATCTTGAAGATGCCGTGGAATCACAAGCTTTGTGTAATTCTAATTGGTGGCAATTTGATCCTAAAAAGAAATGCCATATAAACTGATACAATTTTAAGCACTTTGACTTTCTAAATTCAACAATAATTCCATTTTATACAGTAAGTTTGAAGTATATGGACTTCATATCACGAATATTCATATCCATGTACATACACTGCAACATGTAAGAAGTGTTCTTCTTACTCTTATCACCTCTAATTTCTTATAGTATCTGCAGGCTACGATTTCAGATAAGGATAGAGGATAATTTTTAAATCTTACATAATTAGAATTCTCCATGAAGGAATTGTAGGAGTTTGATGCTAGGAAAAAATTGATGTCAGCGGTACTAAGTATGGTCGGTCTTACTTAAAAGGTCGCAACTATTGATTAACTTAGGGTGGTCTTAACTTTAGAGGGGTCCTTCCCAAATGAGTCCCTAAGATGTTTTTGTCTGACTTGACCGGTTAATAGTGTCATCATATGTATTGTTTTCATTGATAAAAAAAAGAGTCTACTAATACACTTGGAACAGTGCGACACTGCGACTCCTTAAGATAGGAGTACTCTTTTGGCTGGCTGTGATGCTAAGGCTATCTATTTAATTTTGATATACTCTGTACCTTTTATGTTTGAAATTAGGGATTTGTTAGATTTTCAAAGTTGGTTAGGTTTGTTTAAGTATGTTCCCCAAGCTTTTAAGGAACCAGTTCATGAATGATATGTGAATTTAATACAACTTCCTAAAGCGTCTTTATGCTCTACTCCCCCGTCCCCTTTTAATAGTCTTTTATGAACAAATTTTAGTCCCAAAATATTCACCCCATTTGCTTTTTCCAACAATCATTAATATTAACTTTTTTTTACCAAAATTCCCTCCAATTTGCAATAATATTTGTGCAAATTTAAGGGTCTGTTCACATTTACTTAATTTCATTTCAATTCAGTTCAGTTCTAATCAGTTCAATTAAGCTCTAATCAGTTCAGTTCAGCTCCTAATTTCTCTCTCTCATAAAATATTCATTTCAGCTCAGTTAAGTTCCAATCAGTTCCGTTTAGCTCTATAGACACCCAAATGTGTCTCCCCAAAACCAAACCCAGTGATGAATACCTTTCACGTCATTTGATTATCGAACAAAGCGAAAGTGTGAAAAATCTAGTGATGAAGATGTTTTTATTAAAATATCTCTTCTTTCTGTTTTTGAAAATATTTCTTTTCTTACCTTATTTTTGAAAAACGTGCATTCCAGTTTAGTTTGATCCATGATAAGGGTCCAATAATGGTATAGTTGGATGGGGTTTGAAAAGACCTTTCCAACGATATATTATAAGCCCAATTCCGATGAATAATGAGGAAGTTATGGCCAAAATACTAAACTAGGCCCAAATCGGATTTTACCTACGACCCAATAATCATGTAGAGGGTCCAAAGGTTTAATCCTATTCCTAAACTAATTAGGATTTATTAGAAGCTTCTATATGTTTCTAAGAGATCTTAATTATCCTTTTTGAAAAGATAAGATTAAAGAATTTTAGTTAAATAAAAACTTTCCTTTTTTAAAACTTTCCTTTTTCTTAAATCCTAATTCTATTCGAATTTAAAGATGTTCAATGACAGTTAGATATTATTTTCGTGCCTCATAATCTTTATTCAAATTTTATATGGTTGGATAGATCTTGAAATTATCTTTCCTATGATATATTATAATATTAAATCCGAGCTATAACGAAAAAGATATGAATTAGATATGAAACTCTATCCAAAACTGACACCGTCCTACTATTTCGGCCTTATCTTTTTATCTACAAATTATTTTAATCTGATTCTAACTAGGTTAGAAATTAGACTTCAAGAGCTTTCCAACGACATATCATATGCCTTATTTGGACTTCTGGATCAAAAGATATGATAAAAACAAAATCCGCAAAAACTGTTGTCCATCGAGTTTTATTTCGATTCGAATTCGGATTCTTTTCTTATTCTTCGACTCTCTTTTTTCTCTATAAATAGAGGACATATCTCCCTTTTTTCAATAACCAACTCTCATCAAGATTCTCTTGATTACTTTCTCTCTCTCTCTTTTCTAAACTAGCCTTCTCTCAAATATAAAAATTCCTCATTCATTAGACTTAGATACACCTAGCCATATTCGAAGTTGCCTTCGCTCTAGACCTGAAAGGTTTAATTTTTGAGGGTTTGGTCCCAAATCTCTATTTCAATTATTATTTAATTTAATTGTTTTAATTATTATTTTCCTTGAAGTTACTGACGTGTGTATTATGTTATTAGAAAGAGGTACGAGACATCCAAGTAAGTACTTTAATGGTTTTTATTGATGTTATTATATAGAAATCATGCTTAGATTGTTATTATGATTCCTAGTATCATGTTAGGATGTTTTCCTTAATTTGATGTTTAGGGTGACAACAATAAATTCCTAGTATCATGTTTAGGGTAAATTTAATATCAAGTATGATTAAAGTATGATGCTTCCTATGTTCTTCCTAATATTTATGGTTGTTAGTGTCATGTTAGGGTTAAAGCTTTGATTTTTAATGCTTAGTGACATGCTAAGGTTTGTTATTAATCTTATTAGTATCATGCCTAGGTTCTTGATATTATTATGCTTTAACGTGATCATGATTATTTTTATAATTGTTATAATTATTTTTATAATTGTTATCATGTTGCTTGATATTTATTTTTATTGCTTGATCACACCTTTTATGCAGGTTTAAAGGGAATTTGTACTTGTAATCACGCTTAATAACATAATTAATAATCTTGTTTAGGGTTAATTTGATTATAATTCAAGTGATCGCCAATAATAGTTTTATTTGTGCATTATATTCAACCAACATAGATAAACAGGTATAGGGTTAATCCTAATTGATTGCATGTTAGTCAGAAAAGCGCACATGAATTCGATCAGAATAAAGTAGAGGCCTATTATTAGGGCAGGTTCAATCTCTTTTAGGTTGGATTTGTACCTTCATCCCCGAACCCTTAGGAATCAACACCTTGTGAGAAATAGCATGGGGAATAAACATATTTAGATCCCTAAGGTCTTGAACCAAATAGGGTTCGGGGATGAAGGTACAAATCCAACCTAAAAGAGATTGAACCTGCCCTATTAATAGGCCTTTATTTTATTCAGATCGTATTCATGTGCGGTTTTTGATTAACATGCAATCAATAGGATTAACCCTAAACCTGCTTAACTATGTTAGTTGAATATTAATGCACAAACAAAACTATTATTGGTGATCACTTGAATTATAATCACATTAACCCTAAACAAGATTATTAATTATCTTATATAAGCGTGATTACAAGTACCAATTCCCTTTAAACATGCAATTAAAAGGCGTGATCAAACAATAACAATATATATAATCAAGCAACATAATAAATAATCATCATAATAACAATAATCATAACAATCATGATAATCATAATTAAAATAATCATGTTAAAGCATAATAATAGCAAGATCCTAGGCATGATACTAACAAGATTAATAACAAACCCTAGCATGTCACTAAACAATAAAAACATATATTTAGCCTTAACATAATACTAACAATCATAAATATTAGGAAGAACATAAAAGACATCATACTTTAGATCATATTTAATATTAAATTTACCCTAGACATGATACTAGAAATCATAATAACAGTCTAAGCATGATTTCTATATCATAACATCAATAAAAACCATTAAAGTACTTACTTTGATGCCTCGTATCTCTTTCTAAAAACAAAATACACACGTTAGTAACTTCAAGGAAAATAATAAACAAAATAATTAAATTAAATAATTGAGATTTGAGACCAAACCCTCAGAAATTAAACCTTTCACGTCTAGGGCGAAGGCAACTTCGAATATTGCTAGGTGTTTCTAGATCTTGCGAATGCGGAATTTTGTATTTGAGAAAAGGCTAGTTTAGAAAAAAGAGAGAAAGAATAATCAAGAGAATCTTGATGAGAGTTGGTGAATGAAAGAGAAAATTGGTGATTGTAGGTGAAAACTCGTTATTGAAAACGGAGTTTTTAGCACGTTATTTATAAATAAAATCAGCCAAAAAGATAAAATATCAAAACAGAGTTCTGTCGCACAAAAAACTGAGTTGGCGCCATCGCTGGCTATTGGCGCTAGGCGCCAATGCTAGCGCCAGGCGCCAAGCGCTACAGCTGGCGTTTGGCGCTGATCTGGAAATTCACGTGTTTTCTTAAATTTAGATAAAAATTGCCGTACAGGAGGATAAAATCGTATCTTCCTCAAAAAACGTTCTTTGATTTTAATTAAAACTCTGAAAAGTCAACAAAAGTCAATTTATCAATGTTAATTGAATTAGGAATGAAAAGAACCTTCTAAAAGAATCTAGAAGACTAAAACCATTCCTAATTGCATTAGGAATGATAAATCCATATTAGGCCCTCCTCTAGATCATTGGGCCGCATATAAGGCTCAAACCGAGCCCAGTTCAGTAAATTGGCCATAACTTCCTCAATATTCATCGGAATTGGGCTTATAATATATCATTGGAAAGCTCTTGTCAAGCCCCATCCAACTACACTACTATTGGACCCTTATCATGGACCAACCAAACTGGATTGTCTGTTTTCTTAAAATAAGTTTTCAAAAATAGA